TCTCCAGCCTTGGTGGGTCTGCTCTCATGTTGTTACCCTGCCACTGGGACTACACCTTGGATGGCTCAGTGAAGAACATTCGGTTTATTCTCCTGGCTTCAACTTCTCTGGTGTACCTCTTCAAATTTTATTTTATTCTCCTGGCTTCAACTTCTCTGGTGTACCTCTTCAGCTGTGTGGCCAGGGCTGTGAGCCTTTGCTTGGCAGTCTCTAAGGCCTCAGGTATGGACAGTGAGTTGTACTTCTTAGGTCCCCCTTTTTTCATCACGCCTTTCTTCAATCCCAATAGCTGGCTAACTTCTCTCCTTGCTGCCTTGATCTTGGTCTCCAACCTCCTTCTCCATGGAGGATACTACTCCTTATGGCCTTTGTTGAACTTATAGCCAAGCATCTCAAGGATCACGGTTGCTGTGGTGTATATCAGCTTGTTGCTCTCAGTGATAGTCGTAGTGGGGATTGTTCTTAGTGCTGCATTCACATCCTCTAGTAGACTTTCAGAAGGCACTTCACTTAGTCTTGGTAACCGGCCACAGGAGTTCCAGGTGTCCATCTTGCTCATGATCTTCAATCTGAGGTCGGCTGCTCTTGAATCAAGCTCATCCAGGCCTTTTATTGGGGCTTGGTACCCAATCTCCAATTGTGGGGGTGATGATGATGATGATATCTCCCCCCTGACCTGTCATCCTGGGTCCCCCTTGCTGGAGCATTCGTGTTGTACCTCGTCAGGTTCTAGTTGTGATAGCAGGTGCTTCTTGCAGATGTTAGAGCACTGAACTGCTAGTACCAGACAATGGGTAACACCACTGACTTTGGTGCAGAAGGGCAGGGGTTCAAGCCCCAGTCAGGGCATTGTCAGTATCCTGCCTGGGTCCTTAGGCAAGTCCCTTAATGCTACCTGCCTACTTCATCAGTAGTGAGAGTTGGAAAAATAAGAGTCACACTGGCTTGGATGTTGCCTGGGTCAATAAGGCCTCAGGTGTTGAGGAACCAGGGCAACCTGATGAGAAGTGGGCTACTGGAACAAGACATTCATGGACAAGAGAGGAGAACAGGGAACTTTTGGAATGCTACTATACAAGTAGAGTGAGAAGGGTTACATATGGAGGATGTGGGACCTATGGATGGATATACAGTGGGTACGAAAAGTATTCAGACCCCCTTAAATTTTTCACTCTTTGTTATATTGCAGCCATATGATAAAATCATTTAAGTTCATTTTTTTCCTCATTAATGTACACACAGCACCCCATATTGACAGAAAAACACAGAATGTTTGACATTTTTGCAGATTTATCATTTATCATTATTTTAGCTGTGTGCTTAGGGTCATTGTCTTGTTGGAAGGTGAACCTTCGGCCCAGTCTGAGGTCCTGAGCACTCTGGAGAAGGTTTTTGTCTAGGATATCCCTGTACTTGGTCGCATTCATCCTTCCCTCGATTGCAACCAGTCGTCCTGTCCCTGCAGTTGAAAAACACCCCCATAGCATGATGCTGCCACCACCATGCTTCACTGTTGAGACTGTATTGGAAAGGTGATGAGCAGTGCCTGGTTTTCTCCACACATACCGCTTAGAATTAAGGCCAAAAAGTTCTATCTTGGTCTCATCAGACCAGAGAATCTTATTTCTCACCATCTTGGAGTCCTTCAGGTGTTTTTTAGCAAACTCCATGCGGGCTTTCATGTGTCTTGCACTGAGGACAGGCTTCCGTCGGGACCCTCTGCCATAAAGCCCTGACTGGTGGAGGGCTGCAGTGATGGTTGACTTTCTACAACTTTCTCCCATCTCCCGACTGCATCTCTGGAGCTCAGCCACAGTCATCTTTGGGTTCTTCTGTAACCCTCTCACCAAGGCTCTTCTCTCCCGATAGCTCAGTTTGGCCGGAAGGCCAGCTCTAGGAAGGGTTCTGGTCATCCAAAACGTCTTCCATTTAAGGATTATGGAGGCCACTGTGCTCTTAGGAACCTTAAGTACAGCA